TATTCTGTTACTATTCCCATTTCATTACAAATATGGCGCTATTTTGCGCCGTTTTTTACCGTATTTAATTACAGACAAGCAAACAAACAAACAATCTCAGAGTTTTAATAGTATATAGATCACAATACTCAGTGCAAAAAACTTCCCTAAAAATTTGACGAAATCATTTATTTTATTGCAAAATATTAAAGGAACTCCGGCAGTAATTAATAGGATTAATTGTAATATTGATGGTTTTTTTGTTTAATATTTGTGTGTTTGTTGTTAAGCACAAAGCTACACAATAGACTATGTGTGCTGTGCCCACCACGGGTATCGAAACCCGTTCTTTAGCGTTATAACCCCCAGACTTGCCCCTAAGTCACTGGAAAGCTTGATCGATGTATTAGGAGAACGAACAGCAGCTGAAACGACATCAGTATCATCCAATAACTTGCATGTGTTTCTAATAAGATGTTGAAATTCTGTACATTTCTGTGGATGATGTTGTTGTTTTTTTATATTATTTTACTCATCATTGGACAATTTGGAAATTATAACCTAAGATCTAAAGCCTACATGTAATAATACCTTTGATTGGGTCAGCTGTATAATTTAATTTGAATATGGAAATGATTTCTTGATCGCTTCCTGTTTGCAGACATTTCACTGAGCACGTATTATTTAGTTTATTTTTCTCAAGCAAGGAATAATTATGCTTGCTAATTACAGCACCACCTGTCGTCTTTATGTTAAATGAAGAAATTATTTTTTTGTCCTTCAGCGAAAGCGCGGGACTTTTATGTCGAAAGAAACAATAAATAATGTTATTTTGATGAATCAGCAGTTTTCTGACAAAACTGCTGAGTTAATACAGAAGCATTTTGATGATTTTTGTCTTTTGAGAGTACTTTTTACTGCCTTTCACTCAGCTACGTCACATTGCTAAAAATCAATGTCTCTCTGTCTATCTTCAATTTGGCAAGCACCACGAAAACACCTACCGCTTACACTAACGAAATTAGAAGAAAAATAAACAAGGTATAAACTTCTCAAGACAAGAAAAGAGGGCTATTTAGACGAAAACTTGAGGATGTGTAAAAGAAAAGAGGGCTATTTAGACGAAAACTTGAGGATGTGTAAAAGAAAAGAGGGCTATTTAGACGAAAACTTGAAGATGTTTAAAAGAAAAGAGGGATATTTAGACGAAAACTTGAGGATGTTTAAAAGTAAAGAGGGCTATCTAGACGAAAACTTGAGGATGTTTAAAATAGTGGAGGGCTATCTAGGTGAACACTTGGGGATATTTAAAATAAAAGAGGGCTATTTAGACGAAAACTTGAGGATGTTTAAAAGAAAAGAGGGCTATCTAGGTGAAAACTGGGGGATGTTTAACATAGTGGAGGGCTATCTAGATGAAAACTTGAGGATGTTTAAAATAAAAGAGGGCTATCTAGACGAAAACTTGAGGATATGGAGAGGTATACGCTTGAATAACCTAAATGTGACGTATGACATGAAGGTTGCTGGGAATGAAAGAAAGAAGACTTTCACAGCCCTCTTCCTTCACCGATCTCATTACAAACAGTCCTCATAACATTTCAGCCATCACTTGATACACTTATAAAAATATTCTTTGAGCTTGGGGGAGGGAGGGTGACTATTTCTTCCTCTAGGAAGTGCATCCTTTTTTTCTCTGATACTTACTTTTCTTTAGCATGGCTCCAACGTATCTATCTCCTGCTAACTAGGTTTCGTGTTTCTGAACAATTATCTAATCAGCACATTCACCTTGTCAGTGGTGCTTTCATCGTGCAATATGGTGTATTCTGAACTTGTTTTATTTAGATCATTCACTAGTTTCTTTAGCAAGTAGGGTCTTAGGCCACCTCAAATGACGTTGTTGACCCCATTTCAAAACTGTTGGTAATGGGCCACTTATTATCCTACGACACATTTGTTGACCCCATTCCAAAACTTTTGGTAATGGGACACTTATTATTCTACGACACATTTGTTGACCCCATTCCAAAACTTTTGGTAATGGGACACTTATTATTGTACGACACATTTGTTGACCCCATTCCAAAACTTTTGATAATGAGACACTTATTATTCTACGACACATTTGTTGACCCCATTCCAGAACTTTTGGTAATGGGACACTTATTATTCTACGACACATTTGTTGACCCCATTCCAAAACTTTTGGTAATGGGACACTTATTATTCTACGACTACATTTATTGACCCATTTCCAAAACTTTTGATAATGAGCCACTTATTATTCTACGACACATTTATTGACCCCATTTCAAAACTGTTGGTAACGGGCTACTTATTATCCTAGACGAACATCATCCATTATATTAAGCAAATGAAAAGTACTTGCTTGATTCATTACCCCACTGTGTTTCACCTTCCGTGACTTCTGTTGTCATTTTGGTTGAAGATGAATAATTTGGCCAGACAGCAGCTCGTATTGATGTATTATGATCTTAGCAATCTACTTTTCTGATGTCCAGGATTTGTTGGGGGATGAATATTCCGGCTAGTGCATGAGTCTGGGATGTAGAGGTCGAGGGACCAGATTGTGTTGATGTATTCTAGTTGTAGTATTTCTCTTTATGTATTATATATTGCAAACCGTGGTGTCTGTCCGAGCGTTCGTCTGTCTCCCGTTTATGGCGGCGGCGTTTGAAAAGCTGCGCACCGAAGCAAAGCTGAACATTCACTTTTGAATAATGTTGATGCCAAATTTTATTCTACACTAAATTGTTAGGAATTAATCACACTATCATTCACATTTCAAAATATAGATTTACCGTATGTTATAGTTGAGTGACTCTTAGCATGACTGAAATGCTAAACAATTACTTTTCGCGGTGGGTGGTATAAGTAGCTCAGAGCTTTGGTTTTGAGTAAAACCAAAAGTGTAACACAATTAACCTTTTTAAACTACATGAAATAATTTAAACTGATAGATTGATTTAAACTTTTCTCGTCACTGGGGACGGGTACTTTTGTTAGATTAACTTAAATTTTTCCCATCACTGGGGACGGGTACTTTTGCTAGATTAACTTAAACTTTTCCCATCACTGGGGACGGGTACTTTTGCTAGATTAACTTAAACTTTTCGTGTCACTGGGGACGGGTACTTTTGCTCGTATACCATAAGTATTAATATGTACCTTCTGTAGGATGAGAGGAGTAAAAATCTCTTCTTCTCTTCATTTCATCTGTAAAACACAAATTTAATATTATTTCCATAAAACATATCTATTGGTATTTCATCTATAAAATACAAATGTATTATTTTTATGAAACACAAATCTATTGGTATTTCATACATAATACACAAAATATTTTTATCATATAAAATACAAGTGTATTGTTATTCTATAAAATACAAATGTATTGTTATTCTATAAAATACAAATGTATTGTTATTTTATAAAATACAAGTGTATTGTTATTTAATTTATAAAACAAATATATTGTTATTCTATAAAATACAAGTGTATTGTTATTTTATAAAATACAAGTGTATTGTTATTCTATAAAATACAAGTGTATTGTTATTTAATCTATAAAACAAATATATTGTTATTCTATAAAATATTTCCGACAAATAACTAACGTACAAAACCGGTAGTAAAGTTCTAAATTAATAGTCCAGGTTGACTTTTCAGCTAAAGAGCAGTCTAACTGATGCACATCCGGTTTCAACTGAAACCAGAACCGTCATTTGCATGTCTTTAAATCCTTGCGTTCCAGTGATGACGTTGATAACAGTGTTGCAATTTGAATGCACGAGATATTTTCAACTACACTGCATGGGAGCCAGATTTCTGCAATAAGCTGGAGGAGTTACACTGTCAATTAACCCGTACGTTAATCAGTCTGTAATTCTCACTCGTAGGATAATCAATATATATAATATATTCTCAACCCTAGGACAATCAATCTATAATATATTCTCAACCTTAGGATAATCAATATATATAATATATTCTCAACCCTAGGATAATCAATATATAATATATTCTCAACCCTAGGATAATCAATGTATAATATATTCTCAACCCTAGGATAATCAATATATAATATATTCTCAACCCTAGGATAATCAATCTATAATATATTCTCAACCCTAGGATAATCAATGTATAATATATTCTCAACCCTAGGATAATCAATATATAATATATTCTCAACCCTAGGATAATCAATCTATAATATATTCTCAACCCTAGGATAATCAATCTATAATATATTCTCAACCCTAGGATAATCAAGCTATAATATATTCTCAACCCTAGGATAATCAATCTCACTGTAGCACTGGACATGGCCACATTACTCTTGCCATTCAAGAAAAACCAGCACAAATGCTACAAAACTTTTAAAAACCACAATCGTGACCTAGTGGTTAGTGCACTCAACACTCAATCTACGGGTCCTAAATTCGAATTCCACCATCGAGCGTGCTCACCCTTTCGGCTGTGGGGGCGTTATAAAGTTACGGTCAATCCCACTATTCGTTGGTAAAAAGTAGTCCAGGAGTTGGCCCAATTTCTAAATTAGGAACGGCTTGTGCAGATAGTCCCTGAGTAACTTTACGTGAAATTATAAAACAAAACAAACAAAACCATAATAACAGACTTATGCCTAAATCTACCATGATCGGAATATTCCTACTGTACAGATAGATTAACGACATATATATTTTCGGTGAAGCAACATGTCAACTTGATTCTGCCATAGCTCATGGGGGGTATGTCTCATCATGCTCAGATAAATATGGTCGTAGTAATCTTTCAAATACGATTACTTAAGAAACAATTCCATTGTATTCGACTTTCCAGTAAGTATTTTGATTGATATAATACACATTTAGCCCGAAAAGTTTCTGGTATTATACGTTATGGAAAAGTTTAATCGCATTTCACAAGAACGATTTGCATATGTTAATACAGTGGTGAGTCTTCCTAGATGTGCCCTATGATTATATATATATGTGTGTGTCTGTGTTATTCATGCGATAGGACATGCGAATCGCTATGAGTATGGCTGATTTGTTTGCAGTTAAGCACAAAGCTACACAATGGGCTATCTGTAGTGAGGCCACCACGGGTATCGAAATCCGTTTTGAAGCTTTATAAGCCCGAAGACTTACTTACTGGTGTGCCACTGGGGTACACTTCTATGCTGGGAGAGATTTTGCTACAGAAAAATATTCGTATAAACAGATCGTTAAACAGTAAAGAGCCAATTAAAGAACTCGTATAGAAGAGCGCGCCACATGTGACAACAACTGACTCTGAAAGCAAACCCTAAACCCATTCGGTACGTCGTCATCCACACAGTAAGTTACATGGTTACAATGATTAACTTTTCAAGACAAAAGAAGCTGGGTATGAGTGATGTCTCATGAGATAATAAAACAACAGTTTAAAGTTGATGAAAGCTCAAAAACTTCACAAGATTCCAGCCACACCTCTAAATAGTCGCCTATTTTGATCTAAATATGTTTGAGAAAACTGGTATCCCAGTAATGTCATTCAATAACATACCAAGTCCCTCGTTGGACATTTGTGCCTTTGATTTGGTTAAACATGGCGTCGGCTTTCATTCTGTCTTGAGCCCCAGTAATATCATTCAATAACATATCAAGTCCCTCGTTGGACATTTGTGCCTTTGATTTGGTTAAACATGGCGTCGGCTTTCATTCTGTCTTGAGCCCCAGTAATATCATTCAATAACATATCAAGTCCCTCGTTGGACATTTGTGCCTTTGATTTAGTTAAACATGGCGTCGGCTTTCATTCTGTCTTGAGCCCCAGTAATATCATTCAATAACATATCAAGTCCCTCGTTGGACATTTGTGCCTTTGATTTAGTTAAACATGGCGTCGGCTTTCATTCTGTCTTGAGCCCCAGTAATATCATTCAAT